TTCTGCAATTTTTCATTACTTTTGGATGAATTATACAGAGAATACAAACTCTTGAATCTGATGGATTTCACTAGTAAAAGAAAGCGTATGTCAGTGATAGTGCGTGATGAGGAAGGGAACATTTTTCTTCTGTGCAAAGGGGCTGACAGGTTTGCTTACAGAATCTATTATTTCTATCTATGATACTGACTACTTACAGCTGAATGGATGGTGTTAATGACCATGAGGACCTTCTCTCAGTTTCTACATTAGAACAAAGAAAATTGAAAACCTGTTCAAGCTTGTGGAGTTGAAACATGGCTTACTGCTACTTTACAGCATAATCACATTTCACAAGAACTCCCTGCTTCCAAAAACATACAAACATATGTTCTCATAGAGAGATTGGGTGAGGCTATTGGCACTCTTAAAAGCCTCTTCACATTCTTTAGTGATCAATCACAATTTGGTAAAATAAAAAAATAAAAGTATGATTGGTTGACAAGGGCTGTGAGTAGGCAATTTCTAGTGATAATAGCCCCACATTGAGATTTTAACATCTCTCTGTAGACTTTGACATCCATTATTTTCTTGCTTGGCTATGCAGCATCATATTTGATCGTCTGTCAAAGAATGGAAAAATGTATCTGGAGGCTACTACTAAACATTTAAATGAATATGGAGAAGTTGGTTTGCGAACCCTAGCCCTGGCTTATAGAAAGCTTGATGAGCAAGAGTTCTCAGCTTGGAACAGTGAATTTCAGAAAGCCAAAGCAACTGTTGGAGCTGACAGAGAGGCAACACTTGAGCGGATATCAGAGATTATGGAAAAAGAGTTGATTCTTGTTGGGGCTACCGCTGTGGAAGACAAACTGCAGAAAGGGGTAGGCTTATGATCCTTAGCTCTTTTCTCTACTTCAAGACTTTTTCAACCAATTCAATTTTTTTTCTGCTCAGGTGCCCCAATGCATTGATAAACTTGCTCAAGCTGGTCTCAAGATCTGGGTGTTGACAGGGGATAAGATGGAAACTGCAATAAACATTGGGTCTGTCTACCATAAATTGTTTAGCTTTATGAACACCTGTCATTTCTGTTCTAATAATTAAGGTTGAACTTACTCAAAATTGCCTATGGAAAAGTATAATGAAGTTGCATTTTCCGTGGTACAGATTTGCTTGCAGTTTGCTTCGACAGGGCATGAAGCAGATCTGTATAACTACTCCGAATTCAGAAAATGATGGCAAAGAAGTACATATTTTATTGAGAAAGAGTAAAAGAAAATACTATGAGCTTGAGTTTTATCTTATGTTAGGATTACTTCTTTTTATCACACCAGGTCATAAGGGACAACATTATGAATCAAATCACCAACGCCTCACAAATGGTAAAGCTAGAGAAAGATCCTCATGCTGCGTTTGCATTAATTATTGATGGGAAAACTCTGACATTTGCTTTAGAGGATGATATGAAGCTCCAATTTTTGGGATTGGCTGTTGATTGTGCATCTGTCATCTGCTGCCGCGTGTCTCCTAAGCAAAAGGCATTGGTAGGACCTCCCTCCCACCCCCTTTTAGTTGTAATTTTGTGGGCTCTCTTCTAATATTTAATAGTTTTCAGTTGTTGATTATTGGAGTTAAATGTGTGCTTGACTGCACACATGGATCCATCTTAGTTAGGCAGGAAAAGTTAGGTCCAGTTAAATTCAGATGGATCCATGAGTTAAGTTGTGCACATTAGTGATTGCAATATTTCTGTAGGTAGTATTTATTAATCTGTCACTGATATAAATATAGAACTGTACTTGTATTGTCAAAAGTTTTTGCTCTTTTGGCATCAGGTGACAAGGTTAGTGAAAGAAGGAACTGGGAAGACCACTCTAGCAATAGGTGATGGTGCAAATGATGTGGGGATGATTCAAGAAGCAGATATTGGTGTTGGAATCAGTGGGGTTGAAGGTATGCAGGTCAGTAACGTACATGACTAGCTCTAAGCACAATTTTGTCAAGCAAAACTATCAACTGCATATGATGTGTTGATTCTAACCTCCACTGTTGCTAATTGCAACTGCATATGTTTTTTATAGATTTATGTAGCTTTATATTTTATATTTGAATGATACTGAAGTTGGAGAGAGAGAACCTGCCATGTTGTTTTTACATATATGGGCTCCATTTGTCAACCTGTGGACAAGATTTCTTGTCAAGCCTTTCTGGTAGCCTTCTTGTTGTAAAAAATATGCAGTACAATAGTGAACTTTTCTTTGCATTTTTAATAATAGTTTTCAAACTCATTTCCTCTATAAATATAGGAAAAGGAGACACTTCTTGATATAAATGAAATACAAACTTTCTTCTGTTCATCCCAGTGATCCCATGATTGCTAGAGTTTAGGCTTGCTAGCCAGTGTTTTTTTTGCTGTAGCAAGAGATTTGCTATAGCAAAAGTATATCAGTCCCAACAGTTACAGCAAGCAAAAGAAAGTAGGGATTTTTTTGGTACTACTAAAGGTATCCTCTCACCTTTTTGGTAAGTAACTAATCTCTTTCGGGGTGCATGGTTATCCCCCTCCCAACAAGTTTCACTCACAGGAATCGAACCTTTGACCTTTTGGTCATCCTGGGGATTTAGTGAGACCTTACACCACTAGACCAGCGCTTTGTTGGTAAAGAAAGTAGGGGTTTACATAACAGCATAATACTATTACAGTATTGAAGTTATTGTATACTAATACCTAGAAAACAAGTCCTATTTTCCAATGAACAATGCACTAAGATCAGCAGCCAAAATCCATAGGAATCAAAACTAGCCAATTAGATTATCTGCAGGCAAACCAGCTACCTGCAGTAGCAGAATATGCATGACATTGGATCTAAAATCCATTTGAACCAAGACGCACTATTTGCACCACCTCTAACATGTTAATCATTATTTATAATGTTTATTATATGTTAAATAGAAGTATCTTCTAGTTTTGTCCACTCCATCTTATAGTTTATTTTTGAATACGCTGAATTAGGAACTTTCATCTGATCAGTATATTTACCAAATTTGTTAATTTCCTTCATCTACATATTTAAAATTAGCCAAACTGTCTAATCTCATTTTCATGTTCACTGTTACTCTTATGTAGAATAATAGTAAAATAGTTTAGTTAAAAAATATGGTTGACCCATGTCCACTCATTAATTGTCATTTTCATATTTGCAAGTCAAGAAAGTGCACATGTATGTTTTATGTGTGGAATCATGTAAGATTTCTAGACATTGTGGAACTCAAAATTGCAACTTCCTTTCAGGCAGTGATGGCTAGTGACTTTGCTATTGCCCAATTTCGATTTTTAGAGCGGCTTCTGGTAGTCCATGGACACTGGTGTTATAAGAGAATAGCACAAATGGTAATTGATTGATATTCATCTTGAGCATTATTCACACATATTGGATGCCTTGTTTCATTGTCTTATGTGCTGTGCATCCTTTGCATGGATAAAAACAGCACCTAACATTTTCTTTTTACATTTTGTATCTTTCTAATTTCTATTATGTATTTATTCCCATATTTCTCTTCTGAACTGAACTATATTATGCATGCAGATATGTTATTTCTTCTACAAGAATATAGCATTTGGCCTCACCATCTTCTACTTTGAGGCCTTTACAGGCTTCTCTGGTCAATCAGTTTATGATGACTGGTACATGATATTGTTCAATGTTGTTCTGACATCATTACCTGTCATTTCACTTGGTGTTTTTGAACAAGACGTTTCATCCGAAGTTTGCTTACAGGTTCATTCCCTTGAAATATCCTGCATGTATTTCATACTCATCCATGTTTTCGAATAATCCAACCTACTAATGAGTTGTTGGCTGTTTGCAGTTTCCTGCACTGTATCAACAAGGACCCAAAAATCTGTTCTTCGACTGGTATAGAATATTGGGGTGGATGGGAAATGGTCTCTATTCCTCCCTAGTCATCTTCTTCCTTAATATCGCCTTCTTCAACGACCAAGCATTCCGTTCTAATGGCCAGACTGCCGATATGGCTGCAGTTGGGACCACAATGTTCACTTGCATCATCTGGGCCGTAAACTGCCAGATCGCGTTGACAATGAGCCATTTTACATGGATTCAGCACCTGTTTGTATGGGGCAGCATAGCCACTTGGTACTTCTTTCTCTTGTTATATGGCATGCTTTCTCCACAATATTCAAAGACTGCCTACCAAATACTGGTTGAAGCTCTAGGTCCTGCACCTATATATTGGTTAGCAACACTTTTAGTTACAGCTACATGCAATCTTCCTTATCTTGCCCACATCTCCTTCCAAAGAAGTTTCAATCCCATGGATCATCACATTATCCAAGAAATCAAGTACTACAAGAAGGATATTGAAGATCAACACATGTGGACCAGGGAGAGGTCTAAAGCAAGACACGAAACCCAGATCGGATTCACAGCGAGAGTGGAAGCAAAGATCAGACAATTGAAAGGAAAACTGCAGAAGAAGCAATCTTCCATGGGTATTATCTCATCCTGACACTACATAATTTAACAATTTTGGGGCATCTTTTAGGGTTTGCAGGTTTTTATTTTATGATTTTCCCTCTTTTTTTTTTTTTTTAATTCTTTGCCTGCTTATATCGTTTGATTAAACGAGCCGAAATTGAAGTCCCATGGTATAACCATTCTCAAACCCTTTTAGGTAAGAGCCTCATGCACTGAGCCGCCCTCTTTAGAAATACAGGAGCTGTTGTATGTAAACATGTATTTACGTAGAAGAGCTAAACAAATGGTTAAATTCTGAATGACCAGTGTGTAATACTCATACCACTTTATTAGCATTTTGCATAAATGAAATAGCCAATTTGTATTTCTCTTTTCTCTTTAATTTGTATTTCTAAAATTTCCTCCAAATAGGGTGAAGGACCATTTTTCTTACTAAACTACACACTATTCAATGTTGAATTCTCTGATGTCATAAAAATGGGGGCACTTAAGTGTAGTCCAATGCAGTGTTATTAATACCCTACCGATCATCGAACTGGTAGAGGTACTGGTATAGTGGTATAATGGTATAATGGTCGCGACTTGTCATAGTCAACAAGGTATAATGTGCGAAGATAGGCTCAAGCTAAGATTCTACTCGTGAGCATAATGGTATAAGCTTGCCTGACTGTGAGACCGACTGGTCGAACAGAGACGAAAGTCGGCCATAGTGATCCGGGAGTCTCGTCTGGAAGGGCTCTCGCTCAACAGATCGAAGGTACGATGGGGATAACAGGCTGATGACTCCCGAGAGCTCTTATCGTCGGAGTTGTTTGGCACCTCGATGTCGACTCATCACATCCTAGGGTTGAAGAAGGTATCGGTGGTTTACTAATTAAACCATATACCGGTGAAATTAGCTAGACATATATAATATATTAATATTAATATTGAAAAATTAATAAAAAAACAATATTTTTTTATTAAAAAAGTAATTTTAAATAAAAATCGACCAGTTTGATCGGTACGGTTCAATTGAAAACTGGCCGATGTGACCGGTTTTGACCGGTATAATTGTTTTACTGTACCGATATTGTGACCAGTTCAATGTTGAACCGGCCGACATGAACCGTTTTTTACAACTATGGTCCAATAAGTATGTGACAAATGTTTTTATCTTGTCCTAGAGTAGGGCTAGAAGTAATTGAAGAGTGTGACAAGTAAAGATGATAAAATAAGAGAGATGAATTAGTTTTAAGCAGATTTTTTATTTCTTAAAAATAAAGAGATCAAATTATGCAATGAAAGACTTGCAAGAAACAAATTTAGTCGAAATAAAAAGTCTAATATAGAGAAAATTACACCAGTATGTATACCACTGAAGAAGGTTACATCCGGTCATCTTCAAAGCGTACAAGAGATTTCCACTATAATTAGTTCAAACAAATCTCACATTTCTAACTCAAATTCTCAAATAAAAAGGTACACCACTTCCTTTGTTTTTACTAGGAAGAATGAATAATTCTAACAATGACTTAAGGATTGCTAATACCCTCTCACTTTTGGTATGAATCATTGTACGACAATTACAATCAATATAACACAATGTTCTAAGTTTTTCAGACTTTATGAGGTGTAGAAAAAACTTCTAAAAACACTTACTAACTTAAATGCAAGATATAAAAGTGTGATTCAAGTCGTAAAAAATTGTTTATCAAAATAAAGACAATACAGTTTCTGCCACCCATGGGAGAATGTTGTTTGATATTCGGAAGTTCTACAATGACTGTAGAAGAGTTTCCATCAAATGTTACTGATCTGCTCTAATGAGTTAAATTGTGTTCTTACTTTTTTGACAAGTGCTATTTTATGGCCATTTTTTTTTCTTTTTCATTTTATATTTTTTATTCTATTAGACTATTAGAGGTTAAAGACATCTAATCTATGGTACTAATTATAATAGCTTCAATCTTGTAATTAGTAAAGGGAGAATATTATAGCGTAACTGATCCCACTTGTGAAATAAAAACGGTTGTTGTAGTGAGCTGGGTGTTAAATCATAACTAAATTGTTCCCGGTTGCTCAATCATTTGATAACCAAAGTTATTCTTTGATAAATGATTACTATGAGTCAAACTCAATAGAATTTGATCAATCCTTTTTTATATCGTTAAGGTAGAAAACTGAATTAAGAATTCTCTTTCTTTATCATCATTCGAATCACTATTAGAGACCCATGATTCTATTTTATCAACCCTGCCTTCTATTTTCTCTTGCTTTATAACCGTGAGGGATACCAACTTGAACCCATAGTTGATTCTTGTAAACCAAGAAGTTGGCATAAAGTAAAAGATTTTACAACACATTAAAGGACCTCACTCCTGCATATTGCAAATATAGCACTGTACAAACATAATTACTTTCATTATTGCCAAAAACATAAAGCATCAAAACACAAGATAATTATACATAATCAGGTGAAGGATTTCCTTGCATCATTTATTCTAAAGCCACAACAACTATGCACAAACCAAAACCATTTTAGAATGGGATACTGTTGAGGATTATTCATTATTGTCTTGCATGCCACACTATCAACAAACACAAGTACCCTTTTAGATGGAGATACTGTTGGGTATTCCTCTAAAAGTTAGTCCTTCCTCACTTGAAGGATGAAGTAGTGTGTAAGGCATGGTAACCGGACCAACTCGGTTTCGCAATGCCTCATTGTTGTTCCTCTCTACTAGTTGTGCCTCAATTTCAGCTAGTGTTGTTCCAAACTTCTTGATGGCCTCCAATGCTTTTGTATCAGAAGTCCAATATTCACTATCTCTTTGCCCAAGGTAGAGCTCATCAGAAGCATGCCTTGATAGGATTTCTATAACTGAAAGATCAATGAGAGTTTGGAACTTAGGTGTAATAGTTCTTAAGTAAGCCTTTTGAGGGTTCGTGATTAGCTCGTTGTACTCATCGGTTCCTTCCTCGGGCATAAATCGCCTACTAAGAGTTGGACGGTTTAAGATGAATCCTCCATACGGATATTGTCCAAAATTAACAGCTGCATGAAGCGCCGAAGCAGTCCATATGACAATAGTGCTAACATGAATGAGATCTTCTCGATTTTGCAGTTTAGGCCACCATGGCTCGTCTTTCTTGTCACCGTGACCAACCTCTACGACTTCTTTCCACCAAGATTGGAGTTCGATGTCTTGCTTAATTGTGTCGTCGGAAGTGTAGTATAAGGAGACATACTCTTCGACCCATGTCTTAATCGCGCCCCAAATGTCGAGTCCATCAACAGCATAAGGGTAGTCCTCTATCACCAGGCGAAGACCATGCGGGGAACTTGAATCCTCCACTGCTATTCCTCTGGATTTTAATTTATAACAAGATAATAATTAGCATCAGAAGTATGTCTTGAAATTCATGCCACATTCCAATAACTATCTTTAATTCATTCAATTTTTCTTCTGTTTGTAAAGATTACCTCTTGATAAGATCAGCAGGTAGTGCTTGATCAGTAAAAACCCAATCCTTGTAAACTACAGAAGATATTTCCATCGCATAACCGCCCCACAAGAACGTTTTTTCGATAATGCCATCTGCGTTGACCAGGGATCCCCTAGCAAGGGCATTAATATTCATCGTGTCACGATAATGAGGATACAATAGTTTATGAATCGGGTGAACAACGCTGAGCTGCCTGTGTGTTGCTATGACAAATGGCTCAACAACTGCATGAGTATTCAACCTATAATCCATTGAAATATGTTAATAATGAAGTTATAAATACATAAACATAACTTTTAATTGATGAATGTCATTGAAAAAATTGTATACCAGTGACTAACAAGTTGATGATAGCATGAATCATTAACAATAACATAAGCCTTAGCCAATAACCAAATAGTACTTTCAACACCTTCTACTGCAGGCAAGTAAACATTACTAACAACACCATATTGATCTCCCTGAGGATGTGGCAAACTTAACTCAATGGCCACTGGCTTTAAAGTTCCATCACTTTTCAAGAAAAGGATGGTTCTAGAAGCATAAGCCTTTGTAGAAGTTGAGTTTATTAGCCTCAAATATGGAATTATTGTGTCATGGTGATCAAGTATGAACAATTTCTTGCTCTCGATAGCCTGCGAAACGAAATTAATTTCGTAAATTTTGTTCATTGCAACTATATAAAAGACTTAATATCTTGTGATGAAAGACAAAAATTATATCTATACCAGATCTGTAGTGAGTCCATCTAAGTTATGTTCAATATGTTCTTTGGTTATTGTACTAGTTTGATCACCATAGATTGCACTATCTAGCTTACTAGCTGGAGGAAAAACCTGTAGTTAATTTTGGAAAATTATGAAGAATAATGTTAAATATTGATAATTCATAAGGCCTTCAATTGCATTAAGTGGCTTAACAATGAAATCTTAAGCTTACTTCAAGACTATGAACTAAGCCAGGATTTACACCAGCAATAATTTCCCTTCCAAATTCTTCATCTGTCATCCATGCAGATTTGCTCACTGCTCAATAAGAATAACCATTGCAATAACAATTACCTTTTAATTTAATCAGAATAAGTGTAATAACAAAATAAAGTTGACTGTTTTATCAGGTAGGATCTGTGTTTTAAATTGCGTTCGATAATTGCAATTACAGCCGCAATTTTGTGATTTTGGGTCGTTGCAACGGCATTGCAATGACAATTGTGGCTGCGTTTTCTTGCTATTTTCCGTGATTGTGGTAAACGCAATATAACTGCCATCGGAATTTAAAACATCGGGTAGGATACCTTGAATAACTTTAGGTGTTGGAAACTTGAGGAACTGCTCGCCATCGGTTCGAAAAATTTCATTCAACACTGGTAAAGGGCTAATTTTGCTAATTGCATCTGTGGGAAGCTTAATTCCTCCTTCATAGAGTTCTCTCACTTCATCAAAGGTTTCAAACTCATTTGGTGTGAAATCTAATTCAAATACAGATTGTAACACAGAAGTTACATCTTGTGCTACAGATTTCAGTCCATAGATAAGAAAATCAGAGGATTTCAAATGACCAAAAGCTTCATCTCTTGGAATATAAACACTGCCACTCCTGCTCTCACTGTTAGGATCTGTTAAGATAAATGCATAATAAATATAAGTGACCTCAACCACAATCACTCGATCTGATTCTGATACCATGTTAAGATTCTATTTTAAAAAATCAATTGACAATAAGAGGAATAGTCCAATAGGTATTTAAATCATGTCTAAGAGAACAAGGCAGACCGATATAAAACTTAATTCTCGATATCCTTTTCTGAATATGTAATATTTAATCAAATCCTTCGATTAAATAATAAAACTTCATATGATATCATTTCATTTATACTTCAACCACATTAAATATTTAACGAAAAGGTTAAAAAAGGATAGTTTTGGATTAATTGATTAAAGGGCCCAATATACGAGACTCTCACCTGTCTGTGTTTTTGGCCTGCCTGTTCTTCCCCTGCGAGGATAAGGATAGGCACTAGATCCTCCCAAAACTTTTCTAGCATAACTTGCACCTTTGTCGGGCTCGCCTAAATCGTTGTAAACATCGTAATCATACATTCTTTCCCATTCCAATCTCTCCCCTATTCCATCTCCTCTTAAATTCTGCAATTCTAATTGTCTGTAGTAGACTAGTGCAGCTGGTGTCTGACTTGGTAGATAAGTCTGCAAATGTATATAATTAACATCACTATACTGAATTATATAATTTAAATATTTAAATCATAGTTACATGGTTCGCAGTACTAGTTCCAGTCCATGGTACGCAATGAGAGGCAATGAGAGGAGTAACGCAACAGGTATTTAGACCATTTCTGATACAATGAGGTAGACGATGTAGTACTTACTTTCCAACATGCCCCGTCCACATAAATCCGCCAGACCAGGCG